GTGCCTGTATGGGATCCTTAAAAGCAGGCATGCGCGGAGGCTGCCTCCTCTGACATGCGCCATAAATCTACAAAGCGTAGTGTGTTTTAGGGCTTGTCAGGCAGCAGCCACGGCGGTACCTGCTAGACGCCGGCATTTTTGCATGCCCCTTCCCGCTCCCCCCCTCCCTCCGCCTCCCCCCTCATCTTTGTGCGCCAAGCGTGCTCCTAGCATGCACAAAAATACCGTAACAAATGTACATATCTGCAAATGTGCGGGCGCCCGCGATTGGCTTGCAGTGCTAACCACGGTGGCTGGTCATCCGTAATCCTCTTCCTCCTCTCATCCGACGCTTTTACTGAGATGGCAAAGTACAGAGTACAGAGGCAGAAGAACTAGTCAGACAGGTAAAAGAGGCTGGAGGATGATTAAGAGCTATTAATCCCGGGGGGTTAGGTAAGAAGACTTAACTTTGTCGGACAGTTCTGAAGCAGCTGGTTTCGGAGCAACACATTGCTAACGGTCGAAAACGTTTACCAACATAAGGCGTAGATAGAGGGAAGAGAATTTTTGCCTGATATTTAACTTTCACTCACCACTCAGCCATGCTTCAATCAGAGACCCTGGACATCAGAGACATTTAGCCCTTGAGAGGGCGGGCTGCGACTCAGATGGTAAGGTGGTTGATTCCAGTGCTGTGTGGTGTTTGACTCACAATTAGATCTCAATTCCTAACCGGACCTGGAGATGGGATACTACCTGGCTGTTGATGCCACATGCAAAAGTAATGATCAGTCCACTTACAAGTTTGAGCGATTAGACTTTCCCAGTGAACTAAATCATACACTAAGGACATGCAGGTTCTTATCCACTGTATATTCCTGATCAAAAACCGGCACGAAAACGAGCTCGTGGCTCAATGGTTAGGGCGTTTGACTCTAATCAAACAGGTCGCGAGTTCGAGGCTCGGGTGGGACATCACTTGGGCCTAGGTATGACTGGCTGTCGACGGCTAATAGGCCAGAAATGGTCATCCTGGTCTCTCTTGTCTTTGTCGGTAATGTCCTTTAGCATATATGAATATATATAGCAACGATGTTATGCCATACTCCCGACACAATTACTAACTAAAAGTCTCAAATATTCATGGAAATTTCAGTTTTGGCCCTCAAAAGTCATGTTCCAGTCACCCACCTCTAAGTTATGCACTCAATAATTTAAAAAAATATTTCTCTGATTATTATGTGGAGGTCATATACCAGAAACCGCGTAGAGTACGCTGGGAGACCAACTGAGGAACCAAACCCCTCATTGCAGCAACAGCAACAGAAACATCGGCGAAACACGTGTCTGTGCTTTTGACTAGTATCCATGTTGAGGGTACGGTGTAACATCGTTGCCATATGAAATATATACTATTTGTAATGCTACTCATTTATAGCGTGGTTATTCCACGGAAGTTGATTATCATTGACTCAAATATTCTTAGAAATCTCGGTTCTGGCCCTAAAAAGTCATATTCCAGTCACCCACCTCCAAGTCATGCACTAAATGATTTCCAAAATAATTTCCTCTATGTGTACATATAACGTGCATATAGAACTATAAGTGCGAAACTTTAAGATGTTGTTCCAACTTTTACGGGTAAGGCAGACTTCAGTGAGGCAAAGAGCTTTTGGCAGAACGGCTGGCTGCATTAACTTTCGGCGGAACTAAATCACGTGCCCATGTTGACAGCCAGCTTCTTCTTCACGCGCCGTTTCAGATCTGATCGCGTGTTGCACAGGATCCGCCTTCGCTTGACTTACATCAGTATTAATAATTGGCGTTTTCTTTCCCCGGAGGTTCGTTACATTAAGGACGGCATAGTTGTGCCTGCTTAGCCGACATTAATATTCATTTTCGGTTGGTGAACACGGTTCCCTAGAATTGTGACCATACTGTTATTGCTGCCGTCGAAAGGCTGTTCTACAAGGGTCATGCAGACATGAGGGACATAAGGGAAAGGCATGAGCATCGCTCCTTCAGCTGCTTCTGTTTATGGTTTTGAATACGCTTTACCTCAATTCCATTTTTTGACGGTTAGTAGTGAATGCTGTGGCTCAGTGATAGAAAGTTCGACCTAGTTGTCAAACCGGGCGTCGGATATGACTGGCCGATGACGGCTATTAAACCTGAAACGGCATTTAAAGTACGCTTTCTTTTTTGGGTTGTCTTTTTAGCATATATTTCATAGGCTCTAGATTGAGTTTTAAAGTAAAAAGAGGCGAGAATGTCTCATATGCCGATATCCGAATGCAATTCGAAAAAAGCCCGCGTAATTCGCCTGGCGTCCTGATTGAGTCAGCGAAGTTAGAATGAAGTGGATTAGACTACTTTAAAAGGGCAAAAAACCTTCTGTGAGGCGGGAGTCCGTATTAAGTCTCAACAAATAACTAGAAGTATTTGAGCGATTATCGCTCTGCAACTTATTAGCGTTTGACAATCCTCTTTAAGCGATTAGTGGAGTGACTGCGTATTTAAATAATACACCTGCTCTCGGATGTGTTGCAGAAGAAACGCTCATTGGTAGAGGGCCGCTGGCTAGCTACTTTAAGCCTGCTGCGGCAGCAGTAGCAGCAAGGACTGCTTTGCCAAACCCACCAAGAGTCTGTGTATTCCCACACAGTAAGGTGTTCCCAAGCGCGATTTTTCCCCTAAAAGTACTAGCCCAAATGAACTAGACCGTGTTTGCTACTGCCATCGTTGGGAGCTTCCTGTTGTCCGAACGTTGTTATGGCAGACAGCTCTTGTTTCACCCACACACACACAAAAACAGACGCAGCACAGAGTGAGAGAGAGAGAGAAAAAAACGATGACGCATGCACCCAATTTCCACTCCCGCTTTTTCCCCGGCTCCCTACTCTCTGAGGCGAACAGTCTCAAATGAAACCCTCCGAAGGGAATTGCCTCCGAAAGGTGCTGTTACAAAGAAAGTCATATTTGTAGGAAAAAAAGAGGAATTTGGTAATTCGTGATCTTTTTCATTCACTTTCCCCCCACCACCTTGCAGACTGAAAGCTAGAAATCATAAGGATTTTCTGTAGTCTTGTGAATTTACTCATGGAAAGCCCAATAAAAACACTCGGAAACGATCGAACCTGCCTAGTAAAATGAAAACTACGAAACTTTGCTCTGTGCAAAAAAATCCATTTCGTGCGTTCTCATTTGTTTTACGAAAATATAGGCTTAATGAGGAAATAAAAAACAAGTAATCTTGATGTTTTAACTTACCATACTAACAGGTACTAGATAAAAGGACCAGACATGCCTTTCGCCGGTCTTCTGCCGCTGCTTGACAAATATACAGTTTACACTTACAATTTCGGACTACGCTTATAGACCTTAAATATACTGATATACACCGCGAACAGAAATTAATTTATCAGGAAATTTAAAAGCTGAACTTTCAGAAAGCAGACAGAGAGAGCTGAGGGACCCCTGATGAGCCGGACCCCTCGCAGCTGTGTGTAGCAGCGGCAGAATACCGGCGAAACACATGTTCGGGCCTTTTAGCTAGTACCTAGGCTGTTAGTAGGGTAAGTTACAACATCAATATATTCTACTAAAGTCTGTCCGTTGGCAACAAGTGCGTAGTTCGCAGTGGCTGACGGGTTTCAATCCCAATATACACTTTCAATTTCGGACTATGCCTATAGACCTTAAATATACTGATGTGTACGGCGAACAGAACTTAATTTCTCAGGAAATTACACAGCTGAACAAGCAATCTTCACAATTCAAGCATACTTACCTATTATAAACTTTTAATGCTTGAAGTTAGATATCCATGATAACAATGTGTCTATTACCGAATATTTGGAAAATGAGATACTTTTTAAACAAGACAGTCAGAGTGTTTGTATTAATTATGAGTTGGAATGAAATATTAGAGGAGCTTTTATTCCCACTTGAGATCTACCACCTATACTGGAATATATTGTATTTTTTGAACGTGCCACAGAAAGAGGAATTTGATAATTCATGACTTTTTCACTCACTCCTCTACCACCTGGCAAACTGAAAGCCCGAAATCATAATATATTTTATAGTCTTGCGGATTTACCCATGGGAAGTCAAATAAAAATACTCCGAAACGACTTAACTGGCCTTTAAGGTGTAACTAATAAACTGACGAAACTTTGCCCTGCCACTCGTTGATGATCGTTCACCGGCCGCTAACGAAACGCAATTGTCCCGCTGTGCCTTCGTTAACATTTCTCGGGCCATAACAGCAGCTCTAGCGGCTAGTATTCTAGGCAGATAAAATTGCCAGCAAAGATGAGGGAGACTGGATGAGCCATTTCTGGCTTATTAGCCGTCGTCAGGCGGTAATACCAACCCCAAGTGGTGCACCACCCGAGGCTCGCTGTGCTAAAACCTCCAGTCCATATGTTCTGATCTTTATTAGGAAAATGTGGGCCTAATAAGAAACAATCTCCAAAAGTAAATAAAAACCCGACTGTGTACACTTGTTTACTCTTGAGGTTATATATCGATGATAGTACTGTGTCCACTCCGGAATTTTTGGAAAATGGGAAGCAATCAGAGTGATTGGATGAATTATGAAGATGAGTTGCAAT